TATGATCGAGTTGTTCATTTTATAATAGATTGTTTCTCCCTTTCCCCTCCCCCCACAAAATTTCAGGGAAGGGAATCACTGCAAAATACAATCTCCCTCACCTCAAAACACTGAAAGTCAAAAAGCAGCATAAACAGATTACCTGAAAGCATAGCGGTGACGCTCAGTATTTCGTTGGAACAATTCAGCTCGGTGGATGCGATGACCATTTTGGCAAGCTGTGGATCGAGCGGAAATTCGGCCATCAGTGAACCCAGCTGTGTTAGCTCACCATTGTCATCAATAGCAGCCAAATAATTTAACATCTCAAGAGCACGCATCAGAGTTTCGGGAGCTGGTGGATCCATGAAATCGAAGTGGACAAGATCTTCGACTCCCAGCTTTTTTAGCTGCAGCACTACTGTTCCCAGATTTGATCTGAAAAAAAAAAAAAACTGGTCTCAATTTTTGCTATGAAAATTTGGCTGGCAAATTTTTTTCTTACAGTGATTAGTTGGCCTACGAAATAACGAAAAGAGAACCTCAAAATTTCAGGGTATGTTTGATCGTTCATCTCATTTTTATACGCTTTCTCTGTGTACAGGCGGAAGCATTTGCCGGGTTTTGTTCGTCCGGCTCGGCCAGCACGTTGCATTGCGGATGCCTTCGAAATTGGACAAACCAGCAACGATTCAACGCGAATTCGTGGATTATACACCTGAAGGGGTTAGTTAAAGAAAAGATACAGTTACAGCCGTAGGAAATGCTCAGCAGGAGCAGCAGTAATATCACATAACAAGGAGATATAAGTCAACAGATAAGGAGAGTTTGCTGGTGCCCGTCGACTTGGGCAGCATCACTTTGTACAAACCTTCTGCTTCGAAAATCCTGGGTCAATCACGAAAACAACGCCATCAATTGTGAGTGACGTCTCGGCAATATTCGTTGAGACGACACATTTGCGACCTGCAATTTATGCCAGGCGCCGTCAACTATGGGTCGTGTATGATCAGTTGTGTCAGTGTGATGATAACTTAGCAGTGTCAGTGTGAAACCAACTCGGCCACTTGCCATACATTTGGGCCCCTCATAAAAACAAATCAACGAAAAAACCGGGGAAACCCAAATATGGCATAGCACAAAAAAAAAAAAGAAAGGAAAGTAAAAGCAGTCCCGCTGCACCCACCAATAGCTCCATTCGCACGTTTTGGCGGTGGAGGCTCGAAAATACGCTGTTGCAAGTTCGGTGGTAATGTTGAATACAACGGTATGCATTTCAATTCACCAATTTCGGCCCCTAAATTGTCGATTTCCCGTTTGATTCGTTTGCACGCTTCTTCAATTTCCTAAAAATCAGTGTTTATTTTGTATCCTTCCACTTATTTCAGTAATATTTTCTCGTATAAACAACACTGTGATCGCCAATAGGCTGACTATTGAAAAAGTCTCCCAGTGGAGGACCGTAATATTAACATTTTTCCAGGTACTGAGAGGCACAAATACTGTAATATGGAATTTTTCTTGCGATAATTTATCTGCTAATGTGCACAACATTTCTTCGCAAATACACTTATTTCATTTTATTCGCTTTTTATTTCAGTCGCTACCGCCCCAAATATATCAGACTGCTTTTAAGCAAGTTAAGCCAAGTACAATAATACCTCTACGTTTTCCTGGACGGACAACACTCTGGGGGAATTTTCTACAACAAGAAACCCTGAAGAAATGGCCCGACAAATTTTTTAAGTCAAATTTTTTTTGCCTCCACCAATGCAAATCACATGGGGAAGCAAGAAAGAATAGCAGAGTCTGACATCCGGGAGCGGAGAACTTTCAGGGGCGTAAAAATATAAGAAAAATTTGATTCTGGAAACGACGAATTTGAAGAAACAAGAAAATTAGACAGTGCACCGACTAGTTGCACAGTTACGTCAAATTTCACGTGTTCGCACATCAGGAGAATGGGAAAATCTTTTTTTTTGTGCATTTGCCCATACACTTTCGAAAACCAATCTCTGAAAACTGCGGCAGTGTAGTCGCTCCGGTTGCAGGCTACGATAATTCCACATGTTTGTATTGTGGGGGTGAGGAGGGAGAGAGGGGGGAAAAAAAATGGTTTTTTTGCACGCGCCTGTTATGCTCAAGAAATCTGAGCACACTGCTGTCGTAGCTGCGGAGTTACGTCAAATTCCACCTGATCGTACGTGAGAAAAGTAAGCACTGTTTTTGGGTGCATTTCCACAAACATGGTCCAGGACCATGCGCACAAAATCAATGATCTAGCTGTTTCGGTTGCAGAGTTACATCAAATTTCACGTGTTCGTGCATGAGACGTACAAGATACATGAGAGGGACGTGAAAGTTGCTTTCTTGTTTACCTGACCAAACGCCGTTTTCGGCCACGCTCAGAAAGTTTCAGCCTTCTAGCTGCTTCTGTTCCAAAGTTACAAAACTGTGTCCTTACTTTAGACACACAAGAGCTGGAAAGCCCAACTTACTTTCAAAGGGATAACGATGGGCGACAAGCAAGGGTGCAAAATTACAGCTCTCTAGAACTTCTTGGTCTGCCTAATTTCTGAGTTGAAGTAATGCCAATTTAAACTTTGACGTGTGTGTGGTGTCTGCGACCTGTAGGTGAGTGAGGGCTGAATGTAAAATGCCAGTCTTCTAGCTCTTCAGGCTCCCGAGTTGGTAACTTACCCGAAAAAAACTTTGGCGGGCCCGTACGTGGGTATCACACTTACTCGTGGGTTGGGTTTGAGCTCACTAATACCAACCTGGATGGGGGATATTCCCTTAAGATTTTAGCCTTCTAGCTTCTCAGACTTTACCCGGAAAAAATTTTCACTGGCTCCTACGTGAGTATCACGCATACCTGGAGACTGGGTTTGAGCTCACTAACACATACTTGGATGGGAAAAGTCCCCTTAAAATTTCAGTTTTTCAGCTCCTCTGGTTTCCGAGTTAGCAGCTTGCCCGTAAAAAACCTTGGCGGGCTCGTACTTGGGTACCACGCGGGTAAGAGCGCCCATTTCGGGGATGGGGCTCGTACACGCATGTAGATTAAGTTCCTCAAGTTTCAGCCCTGCAGCTTTTGTGGGTCTCGAGATAAAAAAACGGTACAGACGAACACACAGACAACCCCTCATCAATATGCGTTTTCTGCATTGTGTAGCTGCAAAAAACCCATAAAAAGGCATAACAGTAACAGCTTACCTCCTGGCCAGTTAGGAAAAGAAGGATATCGCCTTCAACTTCTTCGCATACGTGGATTTGCACAACGGTTCTAATCGCAGCTTCCAAATAATCTTTTTCTGGCTCCGGCGTATACTAAAATTAGCGCAGTTTAATACATTTTCAACAACAAATTTTGTAGGGAGCTCAAGCAATAAGGGTGCCAAAACTTACAAATATTTCCACAGGAAATGTGCGTCCTGGAACTGACATTAGTGGGCAATTTTCGAAATAATTCTGGAATTTTCCGGAATCCAACGTCGCGCTCATCACAACAATTTTGATATCCTTTCGTTGTTTTACGATTTCCTGCAAAACAGAAGTTCGAATAATTATTTGAGATCCACAAACAAAATTCTTCAAACGGTTATAAGTGGAAGAGAAAAGGCAACGCACCTTGATCAGACCCATCAGAATATCAGTTGCCAAAGTACGTTCATGTGCCTCGTCCAGTATTATCACACCGTAACTATCCAGCAATGGACTGTTCATGGCTTCACGCAGCAGCATACCATCGGTGCAGTATTTCAGTACCGTACGTTCACTAACGCAATCCTCGAAACGTATTGAGTATCCAACTTCAGAGCCCAACTAAAAAAAAAAAACACATTATTTTGACTAATTCTCAAAAAATCACATTATTTTGATCAATTCTCATT